GGGGGGTTGGGGATAGAGAGAGAGAATATACTTTTATTTCACCTAGGAGAAAAAAGAGTTGTTTGAAAAGACCTGGTTTCGAAAAGAAAAAAGAACAGTTAGACAAGAGAATAGGTAAAAAGCATCACAGTCATATCAACAATGTAATTATCAAGTATGAAAGTTGTTTTTTTAAAAAGCTTGATTGCATGTATTCAAGCTTCTAAATTTTCACAACCACAATTTATTGTTCACAGGGAAAAGAAGACAGGGGAAGTAAACTATCAGTGATCAGCTGAAATGGGACGGTTTGTTTGTTTGAATAAAAATAAGCACATCGACACCATAATGGTCATTTAGTGCTGGGAAAAAGTGAGACAGACAAACAGGAACAACAGAGTGGAAGGTAAAGAAGTAGGACCTACCAGTGGCGCCCTCCAACCACCCACTAAATGGGACGGACAACTGTGTTACAAAGTAGCTTACTCAAGAGAAAAAGTACATTTTCACGGGGCAGAAAAAAAAACTACGTGATTATCTGACAAACTAGAGAGAAAATTATCGTATTATTGTAAGTTGACAGGGCACGGCTAGCTATTCGTCCATCCTGATAAATACAGCGTATACACGTACAACTACGCCCCAATAACAACATTACAAAATAATAATAAATAAATAAAAAATGATGTCTGTATAGCTTCAGCACCACCATGCACTGGAATTTGATAGCCCTGTCATAGAAACATTGGAGGAGTCACCCACAGCCATCCTTATTCTTTTCATCTTTTCTCTTGTCTGTCCGATTACACAGGCCAGCAGGCAACGCATTCAACAACGACCGTTTCCTTTCTGGCCACTGACATAAACAGGCAATAACTTCTCGCATACTCTAAAGGAAAAGGAAAATGATAATGATAATATAATATATATATATTATTACATAAGAAGCAACAGCTCCAGTGAGCCAGTAAGAAGGCGTCGTTCATGCATACATTAACACCAGGCACACCTGTGGTTTATTATGCATAATAATAATAATATATTCAAACGCTGCTCGTGGTTCATTATTTAGAATTCATGGCGTGCTTTGTCACAGTCGTAGCTTATTAGAGACTACTGGTGGTGGGGATGATTTTGCTAACTTTGGCAATATTTCTTTAAGATAAAAACTGCGCA